GAGAGAGAGAGAGTTCTTCTTCTTCCTCTTCTAAGTCCACCATCTCTTCTTCACCCTCTCACTACCTGACTTCTCAGTATCAGCGGACTACGAGAGAGAGAGAGAGTTGTGAATTGAGACTTGACGACATTGGATCCAGACTCGACATTGGGATTCAGACATTTTGACGAGGGACTATTTGGGCCTGTGCCGAAGACTTGGTGTTGAGGACATTCCCATCTTCACCTCTTCTTCGTCTAACCCGCCTCTTCTTCGTCTGTGTATGGTTGGGGCTGGCGCATTCTTCCTGTGTGAGCGCCAGACCCCTTCACACCATGGAGTGATGATGATGATGTATGTTCGGGGCTGTATTGCAATATTGATTGTTCGGATCATTGGTATCTACGTCCTCCGCTACGCTATCTTGTACTTTGTGAGAGAGGTCGGTTCTTGTTCTGGTCTGCACCGCTACAGTATGCAACAGTTCCTCTCAGCCAAATGGGGCCGAGGTCAGATTGTACTAGGTCTATTTTATATATAGTCTAGAAGTAACAGATGGTAGGTTAGAAGAGGCATGTTGACTGTTCGGTTGCTGTAGCATAGATAACTGGACAACAGGGGCCGCGTCCCACTACTCGATGGTTTAGTTTCGTTGGGAGATATCTTACAGTATGCGACTTGGCTGAAAACCGCAGTTGCAGATCTGATCGCAGGGTGAGGAGTATTTAGGCCGTTTTTTAGTGGAGAAATCATAAATGATATAGGAGAAGCCGTTTTTTCATTGGTGGACTCCTTTCTCGAATTAGTTAAGGGGGCTTTGGACGGGTTTAGGTCTATGACATGGTCTATGGAACGGGGACCGGTTTGAAGGGCGATTTTAGGTTTGTGGGTATTGAAAGAAACGAAAATTGTGTTTTGGCGCCGACGGAGAATACAATTTCATTGTGTGCGTGAGGGTTCGAGCTCACGACAGGCCGTTCGCAAACAGTAGTGGGGTGTGGAGTTGGAGGTGGCAGTATCAGAATACTTGAGGACATCGGAACAAACGCATCTATTGATTATTCCTGTGAATGTCACGCTTGGCAGACGCATGATTGCCATTGTTTCTGTGAATGTCTGCATGCGTGGTGGTGCTGTGGGGAAGGTGACATCAAGGATGGCCATGCTGGTGACCGTGCAAAGAACACTCAAGCACGGTCTACACAGTCTGTTACCTGTGCGTGTGCGTGTGTGTGTGTCGTGTGCTCTCATCCGACTCTCCGATGCCAGTGCTGGTCACGAAGTTTGAAGTGCTTGGTTTAGTTTTCCTGAACGACTATGTCTGTCCTGCTCTCTCTCGCTCACAAGGACTTCCCCGAGACGTGCCATGTAGTTGCCGAAGTCCCACCGTCCCACAAACTTCTCAGCCAACCAAGACACGGTGCCGTAATGGTCCTCATTCTCCCGCGCGTGCACGAGAGAGAGAGAGAGAGAGAGAGAGAGAGAGAGAGAGAGAGAGAGAGAGAGAGAGAGAGAGAGAGAGAGAGAGAGAGAGAGAGA